GAGAAGGACCTGGGAGTGCTGGTGGACAACAAGTTAAGCATGAGGCAGCAATGTGCCCTTGTGGCCAAGAAGGCCCATGGGATCCTGGGCTGCATTAGGCAGAGTGCGGCCAGCAGGTGGAGGGAGGGGATCCTGCCCCTCTCCTCAGCCCCGATGAGGCCTCACCTGGAGTCCTGTGTCCACTTCTGGGCTCCCCAGTACAAGAGAGACGTGGCCCTACTGGAGAGAGTGCAGCGGAGGGCTACAAAGATGATGAGGGGACTGGAGCATGTCTCCTATGAAGAAAGGCTGCGAGAGCTGGGCCTGTTCAGCCTGGAGAAGAGAAGACTGAGAGGCGATCTCATCAATGTGTACAAGTGTCTGAAGGGAGGGTGTCAAGAGGATGAGGCCAGACTCTTCTCCATGGTGCCCAGCGACAGAACAAGAGGTAACGGGCATAAACTGAGAACCAGGAAGTTCTGTCTGAACAGGAGGACAAACTTCTTTCCTGTGAGGGTGACAGAGCACTGGAACAGCTTGCCCAGAGAGGTTGTGGAGTCTCCTTTGCTGGAGATCTTCAAAACCCGTGTGAACGTGATCCTGGGCAATGTGCTCTAGAGGACCGTGCTTGAGCAAGGGGGTTGGACTAGACGATCTCCAGAGGTCCCTTCCCACCTAAACCATTCTGTGGTTCTGTAATTTGTTAGCCGTGGAGGAAGAGATTTAGACTGTCTAAAGGCAAAAAAATCCACCACAACAACACTGTGTAAACAAAAATAACTGCATTTGGCAAAAGAATAGTTCATGTTCCATTTAGATTTTTGTGTATTTTAAGTCAGCCATTCATCCATCAATGAATTCAACATACAAAAGATACTTGGCAACCTTTGAGTAGTTTTATAGAAACTTGTATGCCAGGAGAGTCATCTTTAGACATTTTTATAGAAAGCTGCATGCCTACAGAGAATAAACAAAGACCTCTTGTAACAGCAACCTCAATTTTCTTATCTCAGACTTCAGTTTCAAGCTGAGCCCCAGGTGAATCACAGGACTAAGATGTTCATTTTCTCTAGCAGTCTTCGCAGTGACAGTTTTCCTGCTTCGAAGGGCATTCTACAAGTTTTCTGTTAACTGCTTTTTACCACGTTGCTCTTGACATTGTAGATTTGCATGGGCAGAGGAGCTGTCTCCATGTCTGATCAAAGGAGAGCATTACTTCTCTTCAGCTTGATAATGGGCACCTACCTGGAAAACAGAAAGCTATAATGATTTCTTAATTAATTTGGACAGCAGAATTATATTCAAGGTTTCCCCTATCTACCCACTCGTACGGCTAGGACTAACTAAACAAGACCAGTCTAGATCCCGACTAAACTAATCAGGAAAGAAATCTCAAGAGCTCTGAATATCTAGAGCAGGAGGATGTTTTTGTGGTACTAGACATAAATAAAACCCTCCAGTGGATTATCTGATCTACTGAAAAAAAAATTGCAAGAGCTGGTTAGATATATTTTTAAGAACACTAAGCTACTTTACGTATCTCTAAAAATATCGTTACTGACTAATTTTGGGCCAGACAAATAGGGACAAAGGCTAGCCCTAACTTACTAGCGTCTGATAGAGGACAATGCAGCAAAAATCTGTATGCATTTCAGACTTAACGTTGTGCATAATCACCTGGTGCTGCCATCTGTAATGAAGCTGAGGCAAGTTTCCAGCCCTTTGCTCTGACACTGTATACAAACACTATTCAAAGTAACTGAGTAGAGGTTGAGAAGGGTGTATGTGAGAACATGCGGGCTTGACAAAGTCTCAGTGCTCTAAAATAGCACAGCCACCCTTATCCTGCTGCCAGGCTGTTGTAAATATGTCTTTGTCATACCTGGAAGTCTTCACCTCTTCTATTAATGTACTGCCACGCTTAGTAGCGCATAAAGCGTTATGATACCTACATGGCTTGCACGGCAGAGGGTTTAGGCCAGTTTCCTGAGTAACAGCATTCCTGTATGCAGTGTTCAGCTCCTGTAAAGCGTATCGGAGACACAGGCAAGGAAGAACTATCCTAGAATTCATCTCATGGCAGGATATTACGGTTTGGATGAGAAGGATCTTTGGCAGTTGTGTGGTATTGCAAGATTTGCAGTACGTGGTTTTGGTCTCCTTCTGTATTTGACCTCAAACCTGTAATGCATGTAATTTTGTGCTTGGTACAGTTTCCTAGGTCTAATATAAAGCATAGCTGCGATGACACTGTGGATCTGTTTTTAAGAAGCTGGGATGCTGTGTGTGTGTATTGTGCATATAATTTTGACTCAGTTTTCAATTTGAAACCTTAAAAGGTATTTTCCATGAAGTTTCAAATTGAATTCTTATCAATATTTTCAGTAATGTTCACAATATAACATGGAATATGCACTAAGCTGTGAATAATGCACTAAACTGCTCAAAAAACACACAAAAAGAGGCTTTGGAACAAAGGCATCTTTTAAGAAATAAGTTTACTAGAAACTTAAGATAGCCACATTTTTGTTTGTATTCCAGGCCTTACTTTTTTGCAGCTTTTTTTACAGGAAAACCGCATACCAATTATCTGCAGCGGTGGAACAGATGTCCCCCAAGAGTACTGTGATGGACCCCAAGGGAAGGAATGGTAGTGACAGGCTACCATGGCAGTACCTGCCCTCTCCTAGGATAACAAGCCCCCAAAAGGCCCGGTGTAAAGCGTAGCACAGTTCTAGCATGTTCAGAAACGCTTCATCTTTTTGCATTTCAAGCTGGAAGAATCTTCTGGAAACAAAACTTTTGGGAACATCTTTCTAACCAAAGACATGAATTAATCTTTAACTCTTCACCCTTTCTCCTCCTCTCCGTACAAACAGTGAAAAAACAACATCTTCGTTGTAATTAAATTTTATTGCAATCACAAGTGAGCAGATCTAGACACTTTTATTTAAAAAAAAGTAGGAACAATATGTAACGCTTTTTTCATTTTTAGTCTTAGGTGCTTTTCAGGTGACTGAAGGAAACGGTTTCTAAACTAAGGATCAAAGGGAAAGGATCCAGTGAAATCTGGGTCTCAACTCCCGCCCATTGCAGCGGCACCAGAATTTGCACCGCTCTGAATTTGCAGAATTTGTCCACTCTGGCAATTGCAGAATTTGTCCGCTCTGGCAAAAGGAAGACAACTCTTGAGGTCAAGCATGTTTTAACACAGAGATTTAACTGACCCACCGCTATGACAGCTCTAGGAAATGAAGGGATTTCGGTTGTACCTGCAGCAACATGAGTTTTAGGCCTAAAGTTTTAGGATGACTTTTCTTGTCCCAGATGAGATGCTGACACCCTTGGAAAGCGCAGGTTTAGAGGACTGCTTTCGGGCGTTGCTTGCTTTTTATTGCTTTCTTCCAAACAATCCTCACCCTCCCCGCCCCCCGCCCCAGCGTTTGCAGAAACCTCACCAGAATCGCTACTTTCAACAACTCCAAACCGCGTGGATAAACGCTGGGTAGGACAAACCGCTCCTATCGCGCGTTTCATCCCTTCTGCCGGCGGCACAACAGCA